CGTTCTACCACTGAGCCACCTTCCCAGCCCCCCCGGCAGTAGTTTTGACAGCAGCAGTCCTTGAAATTTGATTGGCTGTCCAGCTTTTGGCAGTTAGGGATCCAGATGTAGCATGAAGGAAGGACACTTTGGCATCAAGGACTAGACTGATATTTCCTAGTGGACGTGAGACAAATCACTTTACCTCTATACTTGTTTCTTATGTATCAGTGGGGATGAAAAGAGCCATACTTATCCCATAGGTGACTGTGACTCTAAAGAGGACTCCCATAAGTCTTTTGTGAAGAATCATATCTGTATCATATCCATATTTTCTCTCTCTTTTTCTATCTATCGATATCTTTTGGAGACATTGAGAGAGGCAATGTGTGTGTGTGTGTATGTGTGTGTGTGTAAGTCCTGAAGGCTTGAACTCAGGGTCTGGGTTTTTCTCTTGTTCAAGGCTAGCACTCTATCACTTGAGCTACAGATTCTGGCTTTTTTATGGTTAATTGGAGATCAGAATCTCATGGACTTTCCTACCCAGGCTGGCTTCGAACTGTGAGCCTCAGATCTCAGGCTCTTGAGTAGTTAGAATTATAGACATGAGCCACCAGTACTCAGCGCATATCTTTTTTCTATGAAAGTTAAGAGAGACATCAGAGGGAAGGATCTGGAAATGAGGAGGTCTGGAGGATGTGGGTGACAGAAGTGTGGGAATGTGGAAAGCTGCTTGACCAGGCTGCCTAAAGAAAACTTTAGAGGGAGAAATGTTGTCAGCGAATATCTAGCAGTTTGCCTTGTAGTGTCTGATGTGATACTATTTTTTCCTCCCTAAGAAAACTTAGTGAAGTTTTGTAATAATACCCCATCCAACTCCAGACAGCCATGAAAATAGCATTCGCAATTAAAAAATATTTTTAAGTTGGATTTGGAGTCATTTCTTTATCCTCGTGACCTCATGTACAAATCTCATGCTAAGTTTGGCTCTAGGGCAAGAACAGGAAAGTAGCGCTGGATGACTTTAGTACACTAGGGCTTTAGCAGTAATAATCCTCCTCTAAGGGGAGATGAAATGAGCACATTCACTAAGCTGCTTTGCATGCAGACATGCAGTACGTGGCAGTTATTATTATGGATTAGGAGATATTTAGCTAAACTGGGCACTCTAATCCTAGCTACTCATGTGGCTGAGATTTGAGGATTGTGGTTGAAAGCCAGCTAGAGTAGACAAATCTGAGAAACTCTTATTTCCAATTAATAGAAAAAAAAAGCCAGGAGTGGAGATATAGCTCAAGTGGTAGACTGCCATCCTTGAGAGGGGGGAACGAGTCAAGTCACTGTGCAGTACTGGTATACACAAGAGAGGAGGGGGGGGAAGGAAGGAGGGAGGGAGGGAGGGAAGCAGAGGGAGAGGGAGAGAGGGAAAGAGGGAGAGAAGGAAGATGGAGGGAGGGAGGGGGAGAAAGACAGACAGATGGACAGAGAGAAAAACAGACACAGAGAGATATATTCAGCTGAAACATAAGTGATCTGATAATGTAGACTCAGAATACACTCCTATTCTCCTAAGGGCCTAGCAGGCCTTGTGACTGCATGATTTAATCTATTCTGTGACTATCCTGGCCATCACATGCCTGACCTCTGCTCTGAAGTTGTGGAAGCAGCAGGTCACCCTGCTTGCTGTACTAGGGCTAGTGGCGCTAGCTATTTCTCATGTCTTGTGTCTGGGGTCTTCCCAAGAGATCTGTTTGTAAGCCCCTATGCTGTAGTGTTTCTCCCTCTTCCCTTCCATGTCCATTGGCCTACCTGTGCAAATTAGCTTGATAGCAATTGCCAGGAGCTGCCTCTGGGTGCTTAGGTAAGAGATACTGTCATTCTATTTTCTCAGTTGGGCTGTACAGATTTAGTTGCATGTGTAAGCTTCACTCTTAAGGTGTCAGCAATGAGAGCCAATATAGATATGCAGGCAGACTATGGTCTCTGAGCCTATTTTCATATTAGACAGTATATACTGAAGGTGTTCAGAGAATTGTAGGGTCTATTAAAAGGTTGTTATGGGCATCTGTGGTGGACTTGGAAAGAAGGATCTGGGAGAGAGTTTGTTACCTACCACCTTTCACTCCCACATGACTTTGTATTATTATTACTTCTGATTTAAGAGAGCCATGAACATGGTTCGCCAATGGCAGTGTTGTAAGTAGGGCTTCATTTCTATTAGTCAGTAAATAGCCTAAAGTAGTGACCAAGAAAGGTTAGACCTAAAAGTTTATTCCTGGTTCAAGGTAGAAGGGTTGGGAGACTTAGTCTCTGAAGGCTGTGGCAACAGGCATTGCAAAAATTAGGTGATTTTCATATATTTGCAAATATTTACATATTTTTGGAAGCTGGTAAGTCTAAGATTGAGGTGATAACAGATTTGGTGTCTAGCTGGAGTTTGTTTTCTTGTTCTTGACTAGCTGCTTCTGGAAGTTTCTAGTTCTTCTATGGCTAATGACTTCTCAGGGATCTGTTTTATAAGGACATGGGTGTCACGCACAAGGGTTCTGACTTCACATCTAGTCACCTCTTAATACTATCCTCCTGGGTGATTAGGATTTTTGCATACAATTTTTTTTGGGGGGGATCACATTTAATGGTGGGGGTAGAAGTTGTGGATTTAGGGGGAAGTAGGTCTGTTTACTTCTGAGGGAAAAACCCAAATAATCAAGGCAGGGATCCCTGGGAAAATGGATCAAAAAGCCTCACAAACAGTCACTTACTTGTAGGTCAGAAGGCCCAAATTAATGAGAGCAATATTGGGGAAGCTACTCTCTGGGGCGTTGGGGGGGAAGGGGGACAGCGGGGGAGGGTAGGAAGGGTGTCCCCTGCCAGATCTCCAGACAGGCATGACTGCTTCGGAATCCCAGATCTTCTTCGGGGTTTCATAGGTGCTGGAGAGACATGATGGTTCTCTCAGTATGGCCAGCCAAGGCACCAGAGTGAGCTTTCCTAGTTTTCTCCAAAAATCGGTCAGTATTCTTGAAACCAGAACTGAGGCCTAGGGACTGTGCAACCTCTGTGAGCCATTCTCCTGGTTTTTGTTCTTTGATCCTAAGTAGAGCTGATACAGAAGGCAAGAGATGTTGAAGAAAACGGCTAAGGATTTCAAGAAATGTGGGGAGAAGATTCAAATTCTGGCTTCTCTACTGCCTGAGTGACTTCAATTTCCCCATTAAAAAATAAAGGAACTAGGATCACCATGCATCTTATGGTGAAGAGAGATTACAGTAAGCCAATTGTATTTGTTCCCCCAAATGGTGGCATTATTTAGATGTATGCTTGCCCAATTCAGGCTCTTACTGTGTCTTTACTGATGTCAGCTTCTAAGCCACTTTCCTGACTTCTCTGCTCCTATCATCCATCTTCCTGCATGGTACAGGAGAATCAGTGTAAAACCAAAGATGTATTGCACGTCTGGCTCAAAAATCTCTTACTAACCTCCTTTATACTTCAAGAATAAAGCTTTAAATCAGACATTGATGGTTCATGCCTGTAATCTTCACTACTAGGAGGATGAGATCTAAAGAACCTAGTTTGAAGCCAGCCTGGGGAGGAAAGTCTAGGCAGTCTCTCATCCCCAATTAACGAGCAAAAAAGCCAGAAGTGGGGCTGTGGCTCCAGTGCTAGGACTCCAGCCTTTCTCCAGAAAGCTCAGCAACAGTGGCCAGGCCTTGAGTTCGAGCCTCAGGATGGGCACAAAGAATAAAATCTTAATCTTCAATGTGGCATCCTCTTACAGATAATCTGAATTTATGAGAGTATCCATTCACTCATACCCACATTATACTGTTACATACTGGGACTTTGTCTGAGCAACCCTGCCTGGAGACCCCTCTCCCAGACTCCATCCCTCATTGCAGCTGGGATAGCAGAGGGGCTGGAATCTTGGGCAGGAGAGCCAGCAGTGAGTGTTTCCCAGGTTGGTGGTCAGGAGTGTCCCCCATCCCCGGACTCAGAGAAAGGAGTCTGGGCTCAGGCTTCAAACACTGTGTGCCTGGGACCTTGCCTTCCCTGAGGATTCAGACTATCTCCCGCTTTCCCATGCTTCTATCCGTCCCTGCCTAACACTGACCTGGGCGTATAGTGGGCACTCAGGAGACATTGGGACTATGACTGTAGCCCTTAGCAGTCACGTCTCTTCTCTGTGCTCTGGAGGACTGAAGTGGGGAAGAGCTACTTCCAGCCCTCCACTAGGGCTGTTTTCTGTCTTGGGAAAGTGGCCTGCGGGCAACTATTGATCCTCAGCAGCACCAAAGTGCACTTTCAACAATGTTTCCTCCTGCCTTCCCTGTAGCCCCACCCTAGCTTCGGCTGAAGGAAGGCACCTGGCTGGCTTCCGTCATTTTTTACCCTGAGTCCTGGTCTCTGCGCCCTGCCACCCTCCTCCTGCACAAAGCATGGGCTGGAAGTTTCGGGGAGCAGGGCGTTCCACTCCACCTCCTTTCAAAAACGGGTGTATACGGATCTGTCGTCGTTCGAGAATGCCCAGTTATAGGCCACGCCTGATGGTCAGACTCTTGCCAAATTCGTTGACACAGATTTTGTTACTTCACTTTCTGCGGTAAGAAGTGAGTTTTCAGAGAGGCCTTACGTGACTTGCTTGAGGGTAACACTGTCAAGTCGGTAGCAGAGACAAGGGCAGGCCAGCTAGTTAGGAAGAAAAGTCAGATAACACCGAAATTAACCTTGCTGAACACGAGGAGGCATCAGTGTGTGTGTGTGTGTGTGTGTGTGTGTGTGGTCCTCGCTACACACACCACTGATCTTCTCCCTCTGCTCAACTCCCTGTGGGTGAACACCAAGAGTCCCTGCTAAACCCTGAACCCGCTCGCTAGCGACCCCCAGAGGGATCAGGATGCTTTGGGGTGCGGTGTGGCCCGGAGACCTACCTAGTTAGTGTTCGCGACTCTATTTGCATAACGGAGGCTGCACGCTTCCTCCCCGCCCCTCTGCTGCGTGGCTCTTCCCTCCTTCCCCAGTCCCCTCCACCCCGCATCCCCTGCCCCTCTCCTCTTCCCCAGCGGGCTCCTTTCCTCCTGGGGTTCCCTCTGGAGCTCCAGTCCCGGGCTCTCCCACCCCCGCCGAGTGCGGAGTCCGGAGACACCTGGGGGCGGGGAGTCCCGGGCAGCGCCGGGCTGGGGAGACGCCGGGGGCACTGCCCGGCGCTAACAAAGGGAGAAGCTGCTGGCCGGCGTGGGTGCCGAGCGGGCGGAGCAGCCGTAGCCTTCCCGGCTTGGGAGCGCTGCAAGTGAGTAGGGGGTGCGGTGGGGGAGGCGGCGCGGCCGGGTCCCCAGACCCCCACCCCGGGGGCCGATCGATGCCTGGGGGGGGGCCCGGTGCGGGGCTGAGCCGCGGGGCCCGCCGCGCGCTCAGGGCGCAGCGAGTGTCCTCAGCGCGGCGTCCGCTGCCTTTGCCGCGGAGCCCGTTGTCTTTGGCTGCTGCTAGTGCTTGGGGAGGGAGGGATTGTGCATTTGCTCAGACCTGGCCTCCCCCCCCCCGCCTTCACCCCCCCCCCCGGGCTTCCCGAACCTGCGGACCCACAACAAACCCACGTGTGCACCGCCCCGAGGAACTCGCTTCTCCACCGCGCCGCCTGTATTGTGAGGTGGGCGACCACCTGGAGAGTCCGGGTTCCTTCAGATCTGGGCTTACTGGGTTTCCAGGTCGGGAAACTGAGGTGGGTGAAGAGAAGAGGGAGCGCAGACGTTACTACTACAAACGCACGTGCGCCCTGCCCAGGTGAGCCAGCCGGGGCGTGCTGCCTTGCGGGACCCCGCTATTGTCTCCTGTGCGCGGGACGGAGGGACGCCGGGGGCGCCCCCTTGCAGGAGGAGGGCGAGAGAGGTTTAAAAGCTACCACTTGGGCATCAGGTTTAAAAAGGGAAAAAGGAAACAGCCCCCCTCTCCCCCCCTACCCCCCACCACACAAAGATTACCCGGGACTGAGTCTGTTCCAGGGTGCATTTGTTGGTGAAGTGGATTAAGTGGTCATCTACTCGCTTCCACTCCACAGAGGTTTCCTAGAGATAGGGATTGATCTATGGGCCTCCTTGCAAAAAAAACAAAAAACAAAAAGAGAGAGACCATGCCTGGCACCCCCATTGTCCCCAAACTCCTGACACTGCTTCTGTCGGGAAACCTCCAGCGCCTCCCTAGCCTGCAGAAAGAACAGTCAGATTTAAACCTCCGCCTGCGCTGGGCGCCTGGACACCCCAGGTGTCACCACCTCCTTTTGATTGACTCCGTTTTCACAGCAAAGCCGGACAAAGCCTCTGGTTTTGGGTGAGGACGTAGGACGATTTTCAGCTCTATCATTTGCAAGAAATTCAGGGACCGGAAAGAGAGGCCTCTGGTTTGTTTTGCATGTTCGGTGCTCAGTTCGGCTTGGCCGATTTGACGTGGTGAGATCTCGCTTAGTAGCGGTGGGTTGGGGAAGGGCTTTTGGACGATGGTTGTTGGAGTGAGTCAGTTGGGCTGTGGGAGTGACAGCCTGGCCCCAGGACTGGAGGCGCAGCGCGGGGCGGACGGGCTGCTGGAGACGAACCGGGAACAGGACCACCTCCAGCCCTGTACCACTCTTACTGTGGGGAGTAGAAAACAGCTAGCGAAACTTCTTCCGTTTTTCTTTTCTTTTTTTTTTTTTTTATACAGCTGAGAAGCTGCGATCTAGCGTTGGGCTACTTGGCCTTCGAGGCCTCCACTCTGCACCGCCCTGGCGGCCAGCGATGGTAGAACCCAGAATTCTGTGGTTGGCTTAAAAGGCAGTGGCCTTAGGCAGAATAGAATTAAACAAAGAAAGTAATTCAAACTGAAAGCTGCACCCTTCCATGTTCCCTTCCAAGAGTTCTTGATTGTGTTGAGAAAAGATAAAATTGAGCAATTCCTTCTGCTCCTGGCCTTTCCGAAGGGTAGTTATTTTGTCTCTCCTGGCTGCCCCTTTTCCCCCTAGATTCCCCTCAGATTCCCCCTAGACTGGAACAGGGCCAACTCTGGAGACTTAGATGTTTTGCCTCTCATCTCTTTGCCAAGAGGCTTTTGTTTGGGCACAAGTTAGGGGCTGTTGACATCAATGCTGCTGGGAGGAAAGTGTCTCTTATAGCTGGCAGCTCCTGCGCTCCTCTTGGGAGAACAAAGCATTGTTTTCATTGATTTTATTTATTTTTGTACGCATCCCACGGAAGAAGCTGCTTATTTTTGTAGCTGGCAGAGAAGAAGCTGGAAAACCAAAAAACAACTGTTGAAGTATGTTTGTGGTTTATCCCGTCTGTCCCCTGTTATCTCCTGGCCAGCTGCACTTGTTTCTTTCCTTAGCATTTCCAGGACTTTCACTTTCACCATAGTTCCACTTGCCATGGTAAAGGGCCTTTCCCTCCTTGCTGCTCAGGATGCAAACCCTCCAAGAAATTTTAGGAACAATCAGGCAGCCCTAGACCTTTTAATTTTCCAGATGGGAAAATTAAGGCCTGGAAAAGAGAAATTGTTTGCCCAGTGATGCACAGTACCACACAATCTACTTTTTAGCACTTTTTTTTTTTTGCATGAAAGACAAACTGTTGCATCAAACAAATTGCTGTTGGTACCCCAGAGGAAAGTCAAAGTTATGATGGTCGTTATAACAACACCCTTGAAGTCAGAGAATGAATTCCTTAAGGATTTAAAAGGGTTTGATTATTAAACCAAGTCATGGATCCCAGTGGTAGGTATGGTGAGGAGAATGATAGTTGTCATTGAAAATGGGTTTTCTTTACTTTGCTGTTGTTCTGGGTCCCTCAATTCTCTACTTCATGCATCTCCAGTTGGGAAGCTGCTTTGAATATACTTAGTAAGCAAAGGGCAGTGAGAAGTCAGAAGGGAGAGAATCCACTTATTTGTTCATGCTCTGGAACCTCCTGGGGTCCACTTTTCTTCTTTACAGAGTGAGAATCCCACCTTCTCAGTCTCAGCATGGGCTCTCCTAGCCAGTAGAAGGTGCTCAGATCTCAGAGTCAGGTCTCCTTCCTGTGTTATTTTGGAATCACTCTTTCAGTGTATAATGTGAGGGGAATGATGTGTAATGAATCTCTAGAAGTTGTTGGGGACACTTGTCATGCAGCATATGCATGTATTTGGCAGGTGCTGGTGCTTCCCAATAGTAGAGAATGGTGGTGGCAGATAAACCCAATTGGGTAAGTCCTTATGTTTAGCATAGGAGCCCCTCCTGCATCACAAAGAGGTGTATATAACTGCTAAACAGTAAAGGGAGCTTTATAGTGACTTGCAAATAGATTCAATGAGAAACAAACAAAAAGTAAGGCTAGAACTTCCACACCTAAATGAATGTAATTTCAAATCATTCTATTCATCCATCTCCTATTTACTGACTTTACTGACATACAGATAGTAGAAATAGAGAGGGTCTTGTCTTCAGCCATGGATTACAAAAAATAAATAAATCCATTCATTGCTCTAAAAGGTTTATAATTTTTCAGAAAGTTCCAACCTAACTCCTCCACTATTGCTCACATTACCTTTGGGACCCCTCTCAGAAATTGCTCTCCCAAAATACCTAATTTGTCTCAATATTGACCCATAGAGGGTCCCTTTCTCTTTATGAGTAAAAACAAGAGCTGGTGGTAAATGAGAGAGTAGAGAGCAAAGTGGAAGATTTCGAAGATAATGTGGCCCTCAAAATATGAGGACATGGTTGCACTTAAGCCCCCTCCCCCCCCCGCCCCACTCCCCAAACTAACATATAGTCACAGTGGCTCATACTTGCATTCCTAACTACTCAGTAGGTAGAATGGGGGGATCATGGTTTGAAGAGAGCCAGGTCAAAAGTTAGGGAGATCCTATCTTAAGTTAAAAAATAAACACAAAAACAACAACTAGCTGAGTGTGGTGGTTCACACCTGTGGTCTCAGCTACTTGGGAGATAGAGATAGGATTGCGGTTCTAGACTGGCCCAGGAAAAATATGACACCTTAACTGAAGAACAAATGAAAAGCAAAAAAAAAAAAAAAGTGTAGTTCAAGTAGGAGCTCTAAGTTTAATCCTGAGGACCACCCACAAAAAGTCAATTACTATGGAATTCGCAGTAAGTAGTCCATCTGCAACTTTAGAATCCTGACCACTGGAGCAGTTTGTTGCTCAGATCTATATCAATGGTTTGTTTGATAAGACCTGAACTAGGGAAATGTGATGTTTACATACTTGTCTGCACGTATTTTAAAAATTATGAATGGACATTCTGAGCCCCATAGATGGAACTTTTTATACGTTGATAGGTGGCTTCGCCATATTATCATAGTGGGGTGATTTTCTGTCATTATGAGAAAGGCAAAGTTAGCCTTCACAATCAAGATTGTAATTCAAAATTCACTTACTATTCTGACTATGAAAATAAGGCATTTTCACTGAAGACAATTTGGAAAGTACGAAAACAGATTGAAAAACAAAATGAACAAAAATTCCATTATCCAAATATAGCCACAGTTAATACTTGACAAGTTTTCTTCTAGTCTCTCTTTATAAAAATGGATTTCTTTCTTTAACTGGTTAAGGACATACTGTATGTGCAGTTATGTCTATTGCCTTTCAAATTTAACCTCTGTGTGTGTATACATACACATATACATATTCTCTCTCTTTCTCTCTCTCTCTCTCTCACACACACACACACATTACCTTACACCTGCAGTAAAGCTGCACCTTCTGATATGCCATTCATGTCAGCTGCTCAACATCTTCAAGAACATTGGTCCCATAGGATCTGATGACTTTGGTGCTTCAGAGAGAGCTGTGAATGTCTGTCAAGGGAAACGCCTTCTATCTTTCCTGACCCTATCTCAAGCCTTCAAATGTCAGCTGTAGGCTTTGTAGAAGTCTACAGATAATGCAGAACAGTGGATAATGAAGACCCCTGTGTGTATGGCCTTGAGTTCTAGTCCTGCCTTAGGTTTAAAAAAAAACTTTTACAAGTAGTATAGTGCTAGACTTGAACAAAAGAGCTCAGGGATAGTTCTCAGGCCCTGAGTTCAAGGCGCATGATGACAAAAACAAACAAAAAAACCCAATAGAAAACAACTTACCATAATGCCCCAATTTTCATTTTCTGTAAATATTAAATGGTCAACTTCAGAGTCATTTATTATTTTACTCATCATCATATATTTAAATGCCTTTATAAATAAAGATGAGCAACAAAGCTAAACTTCTTTGCCAGTAGTGTCACTTAAACATTAGTGGGTTGCTTGCTTATTCTATCATTTGGAGCCCTGTCTCCAGCCTGGCTTTTGGCTGGGTACTTGGAGATAGAGTTTTGAGGACTTTATTGCTGGGGCTGGCTTTGTGATTCTTCAGATCTCATACCTCTGAGTAGTTAGGATTATAGATGTGTGCCACCAGCACCTGGCACAAAGCTTAACTTTTAAGAAGTCCACAGTCCAAAGGAGGAGGCATGTGTGATAAGAGGCTAGTGTTATATGATGTTCAATCACAGAAGAGGGACAAGTTTTCAAAGCTGGAGTAGGCAGTGGCAGAGCTCCTGAACATGTGCCATTGTTGGTCAGTCAATCTACTCCTAAGTTTTTCTGCTTACAATTGGCATTGTGATTAATGCACTGGCAAACAAATTGTTCATTTTTCAGAATTTTCATAGGATAGGCTTAAAGTTGGTTCTTGGGTCACATTATAGAGGGTATAATTGTTTAAGAGATTTCCTACATGTAGTGTTATAACATGTATGTCTTAAAACAGAGAAGTATTATATAGAGAGGAAATCTTAAAAATTAAGAGCATAAACAACTAAAGATTTAATTTCTTGTTTGTTATGTTGTTTGTGACTTGTGATGTGGACAAGATATTTAAGTGCATTAAGCTTCATTTTCCTCTCTGTAAAATGGGGCATCAGAGCTCATCTCACAGGGCAATCATAAGGATTAGTTGATGTCATAGGTCCATGCCAGGTATGCAGAAACTTTTGGTCCTAAATTTTATTTTGTTGTTGTTATCATGTTGTTATCACAGGTCCCTATTGTGGCTGTGTGTGTGTGTGTGTGTGTGTGTGTGTGTGTTGAAGGTATGAGAAAGTTAAATTAAACGGAAACTACCAGATGACAAGCAGAAGATAATCATTTGCATAATTCATTAACATCTCTTCCTGTTATAAAAATTCAGACATATAGAAGTAGAGAATGCAATAAAAGCCATAGCATATCATCTAGTTTCAGCAATTAGCAAAACTCATAGCTAGTATATAGCCCTTCTCTTAACTCCATAGTACTTTGAAGCAAGTCCCAAATAATTTATCAGAATAGCCATAAATATTTTCCTGAGTCCCATGATGCATTTTTGAGTCGTTGAGTTGTGTTGGCTCAGGGCCTGTCTCTGCTGTTGCTATTATGGACTCCCTCTGTGTGTGTGTGTGTGTGTGTGTGTGTGTGTGTGTGTGTGTATGTGTTTATGTGGTGAGAGAGAAAGAACCATTGGAGAATTAAATAAGGTAGGAGGCCTTAACATGTATGGAGAGGTGGGAGAGAACCATTGGGGTATTAAGAAAGGGGGCCTTGACATGTCTCAAGGATAGAGTGGACGCTGGCTGTAAAGCCCAGAGACCCTTGTAAGTGATATGATTCTGGCAAGCTCTCTTCCTCATCTTTCTTCCTCCCTCCTAAGCCAGTCTCAACAAGCTTCCTTGCTTCACTTTCATACACACACAGGAACTATTTCGATTTTATGTGCCATTCTTTACTGTCTCAGTTTGCTTTGTCCCTCCCACTAGT